GTCAGAGAAAGTTAATTTTCCGTACGCTCTTTGGATGGAGGAGTAGGCCGTTTTTGAGTAGTAAACCAATCTAGGGCAGCACACACTTAGGTGTTCGTAGTATTCTTGTCATAAGCTGTCGTTCAACCACAGTGGAATGGAACGGTTTCGCAAGCTCGCGCTGTGTCAGTCATCTGCGTTTGATCCCCCCTCTGGCCATATTGACTCTGTCATTACACAACGATGGGCTCCCCTGACTTGCTTCAAACACTGCAGACCGTCCTATCTCGCATACACTTTTCTCCCACGAGCGACATTTTGTTTTCTCCCTAAAATCCCTTAAATGGCATTCAGACTTCTAGAAGTTCTGAACAATGCCCAAGACGCTTTTTTAACTGTTTGCTCTTTTTTCTCGGCTCCACTTACTGGCACGTACTAATTGGCATCGCCAATAAGCCAGGAACAAGAGTAATATTTACAGATGTTATTATATTACTTGTTAGCAGCAAGTAGCCCTGTATGCTTACTTTGCCTATACTTCCCCTACGAAACCCGGCCCGACCTGGACCCCTGTGCGTGAGGAGACAGAGCAGTAGATTCTGTCTCCATGAGCAGCTCTTTATGTTGGAGGGCGCGCGGGCGGCGAAAAGGCATCAGTCAACGTCTAATGGACACACACTTAACTGTTGGGGACTCGTCTCGAAATGCGCTGCTGCAGAGAGTCCACCTTTCAAGGAATGGCGTCCTTTGGGAAAAGTAGGAAAGGTTATTCAGTCAATTTTAGACACTGGACCTCCAGGTCGTCTTCAGATTTGAGAAAATGTGCAAAGAAAAATTAACATTTCAAAGGACTCGTACAGTTATATAGCCGTTTAGTGTGGGCACTAACTGATATCTGCAATTGGCGTCACATCCTGGCGAAACCTTACTTATATAAGGAACATATCTGAACTCGTTGAAAGGCACTTGCGGAAGCACCTAATAAAAGTTGCGCACAAACCGATGGCTACGTTACGCACCCAGCTAGTACACTCTAAGGATAGGTTTGACTACATCGATAAGAAAGAAGTTATCTACAAAATCCCATGCGAAGCTTGTGATACGGTATATTGCGGCCAAACGGGAAGATCCGTCTTCACACTCATCTACGAGCACCAATCGGCAGTGAAAAGACGTGACCATTTGTCCGAAGTGGCTATGCATTGCCTTGACACAGGACACACTTGCATGGGACAAAACGCGCATCGTCGGAGCATGCCCCTCCAAAAAAGACCGAGAATTTCTTGAGGCCATGCACTCCAATGATTCATGAATCAAACGGCGTATCGAGGTGGCTGGAGTGTACAAACATCTCAAAGAAAGGTGAAAGGGACTATAGCCGATAACTATGGAGCAACATGAACCCCAATTAGCGTCAACACCGGATTGACCCCAGACCGACAAAAATTAGTTGCCAATTATCCACTACGCCATTGCGACTGCCAATTATGTTCACGTTGGCATGACGCAAATTGCCGCTACCAATTGGTGCCCACATTAACGACTATATAATCGTTCGAGCACTTTGAAGTGTTAATTTTTCTTTGCACATTTCCTAAAGTCTGACGACGACCTGGGATCCAGTGTCGAAAATTTGTTAAAAGAAATTTTCCTACTTCTCCCAAAAGGTGTATTTCCTTGGAATTAGATTTCTTCAGATGCCTGTCTTCCAGTTTATACGACATAAACCACCTTCCCTCGCATGTCTGTCAAAATTGAGGTTCGTCTCCTTTAGTCGGCCACCAAAACGTCCATCTGAACCAGCACAGCCGTCTGAAAACTATGCAAGAGAAGGTAGTGTTTACATTTCGATCTTACGACACCTTACACTAATTTGGTGCGTCACTCCCGTAAAGTACGATGCAGCAAACGTCGTCTCCTTCTCCGGGGATCGCATAGTAAATTCAAATACCGCGTACACGCTACTGGCAAAATGCCCGGAGCTGTAGAAAAATCGGGGAGATAAACTCTGAGACCAGTTCGCTGCTAGTGTTTTGGTGACTCACTCCTCGCAGACGATCACTGCGCGAAGGCTCACCGCTGCCTACGAGGACACATGTACTAGCCACCTACGCCCATCTATATAGTCAATCACCCGTCTAGTCCGACTTACACAAAGGCCATTCCAGACGCTGTGGCGATTCCGGCGGTTCCCCCGGTGTGAGCGCGCCGCTGTGACATTCGATTTTCTAATGCCTATTCTCCATTCCTGTACAGAATAAATTGTTCCTACCACTCTGGCCTCCCATTATTTCTCTTCTCCCAAGGAACCGCGCCTCATGATCGCAATTGTCGAGGTTTACGTTATTTAACCTCCCTGCCATCTTGCCTCGCATTTCAAGTTACACCAGAGGTATTATAAACGACCGATAGCTTTTGTCCGTTCGATAGCAACCAGCTCAACAAAACACAAAACCGAGGTGCTTCTTCATCTCTAGAAACCGCGGCAGCTGGTAATTGATGTCAGAAGCATAACAGCCTCTACGTAGGAACAATAACACAAAAGAACATGCTAGCTGCCTCACCCACAACGTCTGCTAGGAGGTCGGACTATGACCTTGTGGTATTTATCGGGGGAACTCAGATAACTGACTAAACACTTACTTCATGTGTCTTCCGCGGCGGCGGTGTCGGCAGAAGGTTACAAAAATAACAGAATATGGGGAGTTCGCTGGGAGCTCCCATAGCAAGTTCAACGGAACGGCCATGCAGTCACTCAAGCAAGCAAGATATGTAACCACCGTTCCCGCATCGATTTACGCACTGCTGATGGAATTCAACGTGGGTGTGATTCGGTTGGTAGAAACGTCAACTAATTCACCAGTTAAAAGTACGGTTTCTTCATTTCACGTGACGACGGCAAGCCTGCCAAAACGATCATCTACATCGATAGGTGCCCCCCAGAAAATGCATAGACTTTCACTGCTCTGTATTGCAGTGTTCCAACTAAGAAAAAAACTTAAGTCCGCCGGGAGAAGTAGATAATGCAGAATCAACAATAGTAGCAGCCATGTCGGAATCGGATGGAAATAAAAAGTGAAAATAAGTTCAAAACCACACGTCCACAAAGCGAGGAGACTACAGGCAGAAAAGGGAAGGAGGGAGAAAAATTGGATCAAGGACATACATGCGGGTTGAGGAAATAAAAAGAGGCTCTCTATTAAGGCGAGCGCTCATAAGTTTAAGAACAACTACTGTAATTACGGTAGCCTGGTTGAGGGGGGGGGAGTGGGGAAGGACTGTGCACGTAGGGCTTAAGAAGACGGGCCAAAGTAACCACACTGTTACCAAATTTTTGTGTGATTGGACAATTAAACATGATGTGAACGGAGCTCCTCAGACATAGTCTCTTTATCGCGAGGAAGACGAAAAGGGAAGAGAGTATGCCTAAGTAAAACCGAGGGCATGGTTACATGTAGATATTTCGTTGAGACAAAGGCTAGTAAGAACGAGGAATCAGTGATGCTCCCCAAGAAAAGCGTCATCGGGGAAAAAAGAAAATGGGGAGTAGAGGACAGCCAACAATCTGGAGGAAGGAGTATTTGGTACAGGATAGGATTGCAGAGAACAGTGGGGAGCCGGGAGAGATTTTGCCAAATCAATAAAAGGCTGGAGTTAGCGTCCTGTGTGTGTGTAACATACTCCACAAGGCACGAGCGATAGGTATTAGGTACACGGAGAAATGTACAAGTGATCAGCTGTGTAGGACAAGTTCTTGCTTTCTGGAAAAGATAAGATAACATCGGATGAAGGGACAGCTGATAGGAAATTGATAAGGCGATGCAAAAGGCCGCATGTCCTGACTCTGTACAAATGTGTTCTACGAAATAGTGTTGGGAATATATATATACTACGTTTAAAACATAAGTAGCCAGTACAATTTCTTAAAACACACACATACGTCAGGCTCTAGCTACCCCATCCGGCGATGAAGTTAACTCTACGCTGGCCGCAGACACTCCGTTTGAAGTAGATGACGGTTGGTTAGCGGCGGGGCTGCTGACCGCCCCTTGAGGAGTCTTGATCGAAGTCAGCGCGAGGGCGGACTGAAGGTCACCTACTGACAGACGCCGGAGGACAAAACCAGCTTGCTGGAGACTCGGTGTGTAGGACTTTGTCAGTTCCTCAGACATAAGGAACAGCGGATCAAGAGCGGCAAAGTGGGGGAAATTCTCCAGCGGAGTGACGAGCTGCGTGCGTGGTAAGCGCTCCACTACGCGACAAGCGTAAAAGAAGAGTTCACAGCTGGAAGAAGGGGCGACAGAGGGGGAGAAGGGAGGTTAGGAGACATCACGGAGCTGTGTCATAAAAAAAAACCCAATAATAAGTG